TAACGGAGGGGAAAGAGCCTTGTAAATTATATTGATGAAAAGACTTAAAATTACTTTGCCCTACAGAGACGCAAGAGGGAATCCTAAACCACTGAAGGAGGAAATACTTTTCTATGGAGGCCAATGAGAGGGAGGCGGGTAAGAAGGCACAGCAAGTTACAAGTCCAGAACTGCTACTGTCCCAAGTGTACAAGTAAAAGCCAAGACACACACACACACACACACACACAATTTATGTGTATTCTGATTCCAGAAAATACACACACACACACACACAATATTAGTGTTCTGATACTAGCTTACTAGCACCAAAAGAGTTGAGAATTTACTTAGTGTACTCTACTAAGCCAGTGTTTTAAGTTACCATGTTCTGTGTTGTACTTACAAACGGGCACTTCAGTCTCATTCAACATATCAGAGTGGCGAATACGTGCAAACACTGCCCTAGGCTCTTGGGATACAGCAGCAAATAAGACAGACAAAAATGTCTGCCTTTCCCTGCACTTGTATTCTAGTGGGGCGGAAAATAAAGAAGTAAAATATCGCTTTGAAATGTATACAAATACCAAATCACTATGTTGTGTTACAGGAACTAATAGTGTTGTAGGTCATTTATACTTCAAAAACAAACTCATAGAAAAAGAGATCAGATTTGTGGTTACCAGGGGCAAGGGGGAGGGGTAAAAAAAAAGCAGTCAAAAGATACCTACTTCCAGTTATAAGTAATACCAGGGATGTAACGTACAACATGGTTAATATGTTAACGTACAACATGGAAATATTGTGTGTTTGTGTTCTGTGTGCTCTGTGTACCAGAAGCATCAGCAGGGGGACAGAAATGCAGACTCTCAGGCCCACCCGGACCTGCTCATTCGACACTCTTCAGGCTGGGAAGAAGCTCCCTCAGGTGATTCTTAAATTTGCTGAGGTTTAAGAGTACTATTTTACAAAACAAACACACTAGCATATCTTAGATATACTATAGGGGTATGGTTAGTAAGAAAAATCTGGTTATTTATTCTTTCCTATTTAAGAATTCAATTGTTGAGTGTGAAGGTTATTCTGTTTTATCACCACAAGCCTTGGTCAGCCCTCACTTCACATTTATAAATACAAAATATTTATGTCATGCCTTACCTACCCATGTGTCAGGAACCAGTAAGTCAGAAAAATAAAAAATGAGCTGCACAAATGTAGGCTATAGAGATTCATAATTATCTTACATCAAGTCAATATTTATGTACAGATTTTATCCTACAAGAAAATACACACATTTGCCAGAAGCAAGTCTGACATTTTAGCAAGTGTACATTTTAGATTTCTACCATAAGTACTCAATACATATGTGTATATATGTAAACGTGTATATATGTGTATAGGCACACTATATACAAGTGCTTGTGTAAACATACAAACATACATATGCACACATGCACATAAACACACACACTTCTGGCCTTTAAGGAGCTACATAACTATCAAACGCAGCTATATGGTCTTCTTAAGAGCAGAGACGGCCAAGGCTTTATTTCCTTGAAGACATCAATTCATTCAAGACTGAAAACAGTTATCAGTATTTCAAAAACAGGCAGAAAATCTGTTATCATCACTTTGAAAACAGACTTTGCTCTCTGAACCACAGACTTTGCCCTCTGAATCATGGATCCCAAAACTGAGGAATACTGCCCAACAATACCAGCTGGACACCAGTCTACCTTATTTGCTAAGAATCAGAGGACACCTACCAAATGTGTGCTGCTATACAATTTTTTTTTTAAATATTAGAACTTGAGAAATAAAGTTCAATAACTAAACACTGAATGAACAGATTAATAGTTTTATAAATAAAACTGAGAATAGACTGTCTCAATTTTATACCAGTATTTTTTTTTAAAGGGAAAGAAGACAAGGCCCCTTTTCATCTCACATTTAATTATCAAAAAAATTCTTTAAAATATTTAGAACTCCAATGTTTATGACAGTATAACAAATTATAGTTTATCTGAAGAGGAGCTCTCACTTTAAAGTTTTTAACCATGATTTTTAGGAAGCTATTTCAAGTAGCACATAAACTTGTATATAGGTCTGACTACCTACTTACACCTTCAGTGCTTAGGGACAAAACTCCTACCCCAACTTCAAGCTCTCTCTCACTGTCTCTACCATCCTTTACTTGCTGTTTCTTCCTCCATGACGGGAAAACACTGATCTGATAGAGGAGTACTCAGAAAGTGCAATATTCCACTGTGCCCTTTAATTTCTCCTGTAAACCAAAATATAAAGGATTGAAGGAAGGGAAGAAGGGAAAAGAACCCATTATTTTTTACCACTAAAATCTGACAAATATCTGTGATGGAAAAAAGAGAGATTTGTCTATTTTGAAATTATTTTAATTTACAAATAGAAAACATCTTGGAAGAAAAAAATGAAAGAAAAACACAAAACATATAGGCAAATTTTTACTCCATGAGCGTCTCAAATCCTCACTTGTTCACCAATCCCCAAGATGAAAAACACTTTTCTAAAAAGGTATTCAGCCACCACTGCAAAAGAAAAAAAGATGGTCAATTTTGAGTGTACATAAGATTTCAATAAGAAGAAAAAACTGAAATGCAATATGCTGTAATTTTACGGAACCAAAAACAGTTATTTGAGAACCACGCCTACATTACTCCAACAGCACAAAAGGGAAGAAACTGAACTTTACAATCTTGGAACTGAAAAGGTCCTTACAGAGGACATGGCTGCTGGAACAGGCTTAATCTGTTAAACCTCAGAATCCTCATTTGGAAAACATGCTTAACAGTATAGCATAACATCTTTCTCAACAAGACGAAAAATATGAATTACATAACAGGGCGGTTAGTTGAGAACTTTTTCAATTTGATGTACAATCAGCCATTTGAAAATCAAGAGTGCAGAGTAGTACGCTGGTTCTCAACCACTATATCTTCCCATAATCACTCAAAAACCTTGATTAATAATGAAAATAAAAATCACCTTCTCTACAGAAGACCTTCCAAGTTTCAAAAGCATGAACATTAAAACTGTATACTGAGATATACATTTTAAAACTGTGATGTTAAAGAAAGAGAATAATTCCAGTACTAGATGAAAGTTATACTCCTAAAAGAAACACTCCTGCATCTGTACTTTAACATGAAGTGCTTTAAACTGTATTGCTGCAACTAAAATACCCACAACTATAAAACTCCTTTAAATTATAACCCTGTGGATATTAATTTTGACTGCTGTAATTGTATAGAAGAAAAAATTTCATCATAAGGAAAAACATGTGATAATTCAGCCTAGTGAAAGAGAAGCTTGTGTTTATACTTCACTTGCTACCGCCTCAAAATGATTTAAACAGTGATTTATGCTCTTTCAAGCAGGAAAAAAAGATTTCTTTTAGTTTTACAGCTGTCATGGCATATCATGAAGAGACTTAAAGTTTTCTGATAGCTTTTCTCACAAAATGTTTTATTTGGCCTTAATTTAATGTAAAAACTATCTAAAGATATATTTTTTTAACTCTTTAAACACTGAAAACAATTGTGTTACTAGAAGAAAAGTTTTCTAAGCAACTAGCTTCCAAAAGGTCATAGTTCAACAATCTCTGACTAGCAAGGTTGGGAAAAGACATATTGTGCCTGCTGCAGAAATGAGAATTAAGAGAAAGCAAATTTTTTTTTTAATTTTCTTTTTTTTATTAGTCGGTCAGAGTTTGAATGCAAGCCAAGGTTTCTAAGAGGAAAAAAAGAGCAAAGAGCAAGCATAAAAGTAAGGACATATTGTTTTTCTTCTCTGACTTGCTATCTGTTAAGTTTCCCTGCGCCCTTCATTCTGGCAAAAATTAAAATTCATCTCAGTCAAGCATAGCACCTGTATAGTCTAATGAGACCAAGGCAAAAGACCACTGATAACGTGCATTTTCCATGTAAAAGACAACTTCATTCAATGGATTTTTTATACTAAATAATGATAATTAATCCTTGGATCTAAGCACACTAATACCACATGCTGATTAATTATCCAGTGACAAATAAATAACATTTACATTTTACTGGACTGAATCAACCTAACAGAAATAGCCTTGGCCGGTGAATAAATGGATCTTTTTTTCTCAACAATTCAAATTATTACTGAATGTTTGTTAACTCCCTTGCCTTTTTTTTTTTTTTAACATCTTTATTGGAGTATAATTGCTTTACAATGGTGTGTTAGTTTCCGCTTTATAACGAAGTGAATCAGTTATACATATACATATGTTCCCATATCCCCTCCCTCTTGTATCTCCCTCCCTCCCACCCTCCCTATCCCACCCATCCAGGTGGTCACAAATCACCAAGCTGATCTCCCTAAAATAGATAGCTAGTGGGAAGGGAGAAAACAAATCTTTAACACTTGTTTCAAAGACCTGTTGGGAACAACTGGACTAATGAATCTCAATCCCGAAAGGGTGTGCTAAGAGTGCACTGTCCTAAAAGGTACTTTAGGTCACAACTCAGATAATGAAATAAAAGATGTCTGAACACAAAACTAGGATAAATAACAATGATGAACAGATTAAAAATGCAAAAGTCTTCCATAAGGGAATCTAGCAAAAAGGAATTTAACAAGGGGTGATGTTCCATTCTTAGGCTAAAAACAAACCACACCAACTATGTAAACCCAGGATAAAGGAAGTTTATTGTAGCCGTTATCTGTGAGAAACTGAAGATTTTAGCCTTTAGCAAGAAAACATCCACAGTAAGCACTGGATTCTAAACACTGGATTTTAAGAGGGCTTAATGAAATGCAAACTGGAGCCTGAAGTGAGGCACCTGACTCAGGATGAGTAGTGGTCTGAAACTGAGCCGGAATGAGATGGCCTATACAATGGTTAAGAACACAGGCTCCCAAGCCTGGGTTTCACATGCTGCTTTACCACTTATAGGCATGCGACGTACTTCCTTACTCTCCATGCCTCAGTTTCTTCATCTATAAAATGGAAATAATAATACTGCTACCTCACACAATTGTCATGAGGGTTAAAAGAGTCAGCTCACATTAAGCTGTGTGTCCTCAGCACACAGCAAGTGCTCAATAAATGTTAGCAATTATTATTACCATCATGATCCTTAGAAAAAGGTTAAGAACCTGCCGTTGTTCACTTAATTCAACACGTACTCAAGTGTTTTCAATGTGTACAAGAATACACTGGACTAGGTTCTGTAGTGTATACACACACACAAACTACAGAATATATATATATATACAGTTACGTATTAATATTACCTTACCAATTAATTAAACTTCATAACAATTTAAAGAAATAACTCTGTCAGTTATACCTGTCTGACAATGGACTGGGGAGCAGGAGAGCAGATGTACTGAGCTTATGTCACAAACTCCACCTTACCTCCTCTGTTTACTGATTAGGTAGGGGCTGTAGCCCAGAGACACTGAGCTCAGGTTTCCTAATTCTACTTCAGGATTCGCTCCATGATTCCATTATTCCAGAAATGGCATTCCTCACTAGGAATATAATAGAGATTTCTGAACTGATGGAGGCGGTTTGAGAGACTTGGTCCTTTCCAGGTCTTTCTGTGATCCTAAAATACCCCTTTGTGGCATGTCTGCATAATAGCTATGAAAATCTACTTAAGAAAGCCACCTGACAATACTCATCCAGACTCGTCATTTAAAAGACAACTTCCACCAGCATCCATAATAAAATATCTAGTACTTAAAGAGACTTATAATTTACAAAGCATCCCCACCCCATAAAATAAGTCTAAAAGGCTTCTCTCATGATTATCTCACTGGCAGGTAAGGCTCAGAGATTAGGTGAATACAAAATCAACAGAGCAAATAAGTACTGCAACTCATACTAACTCTTTACACCAAACAAAATGGCCTAAAACTGACTGCTCTAATTGCACCCTGCCATAAGGTGTTCCCAACAACTCATAATGAATCTTGTAATGAATCGAAAAAGCAAAAGCATTTAGAATAGAATAAAGTAATCCCAGTGTTCCTCTGTCTTTTCTCCTCCTCTCTAATATACCTAAAAGTATATTAGTATCAATGGCTCATTACAATAACCACAATTTCCATTTAGGTTCTTACCCAAATTATTTTTTAGGGTTTTACATGACCTAAGTCATTAATCTTTCCATAGCCCTAGTTAAGAACTATTATCCTTATTGAATAAACTGGGCACAAAGGAGCTAATAAGCAAGTTGTCCAAGGTCATGACAACTATTAAGTAACAAGAAAGAGAATCTAAACCTAAGCAACCTGGTCCAGAGTTTGAACTCTATCGCTGTAGTGATTTTCAGATGAGGAGCATTTTCTCTGCACCGTAAAAATCTTGTGAACAAGTTAATATATTGTAGAAAGAGGACTTGGATTTGAATATTGGTCCCGTCACTGAATACTTGTTTTGTCTCATACTGAGTGCCTTTAACTCACTTCCTTGATCCTTTAAAATTTTACTTATTAAAAAATCAGTGCCTATCTCACAGAGTAGCTATAAAAATTATATAAGATTTAAAGTCACTTTGAATTATCTGGTACTCAGTAAACAGCAGTAGACTGTACCAACATTAAAAACTCAAGAAACATATCTGTGTATTAACGAAATAGCAGGCTGTTAACTCAAATGGTTTGCATTTTCATTCTATCCTAGATGTTGTCTATTTCGTAAAGTTTACTTACACAATGATGTTATTAATAGGAATATGGATCAATTTCACAAAAAAGCCAATGAATCCCATTATAGCAAATCCTATTGCAGTTGCCATGGCAATCTTCTGGAATTCTGGATTTAAAAACACAAAATTTACATTATTTTTTGCATTGTCACTGCAAGTATAGGGGGAAAAAAATTAGCACTGACATAAACTTACTGATGTACATTTCTCCTGATAATAAGTATATAATTTTACATAAAACATGACAGTATTAATAGTAAATAAGGTATCTGACAGATTTTTTAACTTTCATATTTTATTGATATTTCATGATATATAAAAATAAACTGCATGTTCAGGCTAGTGATTCCATCAACAAACAGTGACATATTTATCTTCCTAGCAAATGACCAGAATACCAAAAAGAAATGAAACATGGACAGAATACACAGTATCTGTCTTAAAAACTTTGTAACATTGCTAAAAGTATTAATTATAAAAGCACAGAACATAACTTTTTATAAATAATAGGTCAACTGTCTTTGATATTACAATGAAGCCAAAAATAAGGCTTGAAAAACCAAACTGGGTTGAGCACAATTTTATGTAAAGGTCCCAGACCCTGGTAATATTTCCATTTAATGTTATTTCCTCAGGGAAGCTCTCCCTGACCTCCTGACTTGGTCAGTCCTCCTATTACATGCTGTCAAATATTCCTCTATTTACCTTTCATAATACTTACCATAGCAGTAATTAAAAATTGTAATTGTCATTATTTATGACTATCTTCTCTCAAAGAATCTAAGGTCCATAAAAGCAAGGACTGCTCCCTATTGTATATTTTTATATATTATGCTATATATGTATTATAATGCACCATATTATAGTCTATTATATTCCCACCTCCTAACTCAGGCAGCAGTCAATAAATGAACAGAAACAGACAAATTGTGGTACACCTTTTAACACATGAATTGTGATAAATAAGAAGTTAAACTTCCTAGGTTAGCACCAACTATGCTGTTGATTTCACGTTAAGGCCTTTTTTGCTTGGGGGAGGCTTGGGGAGGGAGTGTAACTGCAGGAAGAGCTCCAAAAGATTTTCCAGAGTAGAAATGTGAAAGATACTAAAAACTCTAAAGTCATTAAATACGACTAAGGCAAAAGCAACATGGAAAATAAGGCTGTAACAAATAACCTTATACGATGTGAAAATACATATAAGAGAAAAATTTATGAGGTGTGTAAAAAGTATACAAAATTTAGAAAAAATAACAATGTTAAAAAGCAATAAAGCAAAATAAATCAATAAAAATGTTGATGAAAGAATTGCAACAATTATTAAACAGGAAGACATTAATCAAATAAAGGGCTTAGAGAATGCAAAGATTTAATTTTTTTCTCTCATTCCAAAGCTATTTATTACCTTTTCTATCCGGTTTGGTGCATCTTTTAACCAGCCGAATTGAGTCCTTCACAAACTGCCGACTTGGCTCAACGAACTGCATTACCTGATCCATGATGCCTATTTAAAAAACAAAAAAGGAAAAAAGATACTCACTGATGTTATTTATTATAGAGCAAGGACCTGTTGAGTTATATCAAAATGCAAATGAGACCAGCCTGATATGGGTGGGTCGATATCATCTCACAAAAAACAAACAAAAAAAAATACACAGACTCCAAGAGTAAATTGACATTATTTTTTGCAATCTCCAGCCAATCATCAAAACAAAGGCAATAAGAAAACCGCAGGTTTTGCCCGTGTTCTTATCACTGACAAAGGATGCAAGCTCTTAATATAAAAGGGCTCTCATTATGAAAAAGCTAATAAGCACTTGACAACAGATCCACTCCTCACCCACCCTGCTGTCCTCCCGTTGCTCCTGCTGAGGAATCAACAGGGTTGGGACCCAACAAATATTTGCTATATTTTATTTTAAACTCCCCAGACCCCAGTGTCTCGTGCAGTGAATGCCAACTGTGATGCTTCAAGGGCCTAGAGTAGAGGTAAATGTGGACTTCCATCTGACTGTTCCAAACCATGGCCACACAACATTTTAAGAAAAGAGTTTCTCTGCATGGGGCAGATCATCTGTACAATTTTCAAAACCACAAAAACTGGCTAAACCAAGACCCAGACTCTCCGAGGCTGTCCGCTGAAGTCTGAATCTTTAGGTCTGGACACACTTTTTAAGGAAAAGGGCTATATGTATGTTACCGATGGGCTCTCTTGTGGAACTCATACAGTAGAAATGTCATCCAACCTTGGCTCTGACAGTCACTGATACAACAGCCAATGAAGCGGATTAGCTGCTTGGACTTTACTGTATTTCAGGTGCTTACAACCGTGGGCAGGCACCCAAGATACTCGATAAGATTTTGTTGAGCTAATGCCACCCGCAAGAGGTGGTGGTTCAAATCCCTTTCTATGAGATGCAGCCTCTCTAAGCCCCGGGTTCCTCACCCAGGAACACTGAAAGGACGTCCGGAATTCTATAAACGTCCCGGACCAGGTGTGCTGGGCCCCTGCAACACACAGGTAGTAACACCTGTTTCCTTAGTCTTGCACTTAACTCTGTTCTGCAAATCCACTGAGCCTAAACTTTACAGATGTCGTGATAAATGCGAAGGGTCCTTTCAGGAAAAAAACACAAAAAAAACCACAAAAAAACCCGTGCAACACCCGAAACACTGCACTGAACGTCAGGGGAGGGGATCCAATAACCCACTATGCCCTCCTGATCCAGACTCTAGATCAACCCTTTCACCCTCACAACACAGGGAGGAGCTTCCCCGAGACACGCTCCACACACACGGCCCCAAAGCCAACCCCGAAGAGACCCTCCGTGACCACAGCACCGAGACGGCGGAAGCGTTCCCAACAAGGTGGCCGAGCCCGCGCGGCCGCAAAGCCGGCCCCGAAGGACAGAGGCCCTGGAAGCCCTTCTCCATCGGGTACGCAGGCCGCGGCCCCGGGTCCGCTTCCCCCGACGCTGTGCGGGCAGCCAGCGGACGGCCGGAGGACTCGCCCACGTCCGCCGCCTCCGCGAGTGACCAAACGGTAGCCCGGAACCCCCGCCAGACGCAGCTTCACCTGCCCGCCGTCCGCCGGCCAAGTCCAGGACACGTAGCACAACAGCCGACACACAGGCGCCGACCGGAACCGGAAACCGAGCCCGCCTACTGCCCGCCCACCCCTCCGTTCATTGGTCCTTCGGGAAGACGTCGGCGCGCAGGCGCAGTCCGACGTGCATCTCGCCCCCGCTTCCGGAACGGGCTCGCGGAGTGCAAGCCTATGGCGTCGGCGACGGCTTGGGCAGTTCCGTTTAGAGCGTGGGGAGTGGCGTGGGCCACTGCGCGGCGTGGGCGGGGCTGCGCGGCGTGGGCCCCTCCGCGGCGTGGGCGGGGCGTGCACCCCGCCGCGCTCCTCACCCGAGATCCCTAGCTGGGTCAACTCTGCTGGACCGGTCCGGACGACAGGTTCTGATAGGCTTCGTCTTGGGCGGTGACCTCTTGACTGCCCGTCCCTTTGTACGTATTTAATTGTAGTCGTCAACAATGAACCTTATAAGCAACATAGTGTTTTGTGACCGAGCTCCCTCGAAACGGTCTCCCACCCGCAAAACGTGGCCTTTCTCTGTGTCCATCTTTGGAATTCCCCAGGAATTGAGGCCATGATCTGATTTTGCCGTGGGGACATGGTACAGTGTATATGTGTTATCCGATTATGGGTTTTGCTGAGACTATTATGAACTCAGACATTTGGTGCTAAATGGTGAGCTTCTCAAGCTGTGATGTTATGTTTTTGGAATGAATCAGTCTGTCCTCCATTATTTATCAAGCACCTAAGGTGTATAACACTTTACTAGGTGCTATGAATGAGCCAGATATGTCATACCCTCTTATTACGGTCTAGTAAGGGAATTTACAGGGTAGGGAAGGGAACAGACAAGAAAACAAAATATACGTTAGTAAAAATACTAGATGGCAAATAAAAATTGTGTTGTGAAGAGAGAACAAAATAAAGGACGGTGGGATAAAGACAGCATTCCTTAGGATGATCACTGTAGGACTCTAAGACCATGTCACCTGAGCTAAAGGCCTAGGGGTGAAGAATTATTTAAACACCCCAATCTGTCCAGAATTTTAAAATTCTTAAAACTAAGGCCAAGTACCCATGTGAACTTTACAATACGTATGGACCACCTGCAGTACAGTGTATGAAAACTGTTAAAAACATAAATTCCTGACCTCTAACCCACTGAATCAGAATATTTAGTCATTTAGGGATTAGAAACCTACATTTTTTAAAAAACTTAGCAGGAGCTTTTAGGTACTGAAGAGCACAGCACTGAGGGTTCTAACCTCTCTGAACTCTGCTCTATCAGCTGCTCCTGAGTTACATTTATTCCTCTGGTACCCTTGTCATGCTCCATTGTTAGGCAGAGAGAAGAAGTATGTTTTACAGACCTCTGGGCTTTGGAAAAGTTTTTACTCTGCTTCATTCCCAACACATGCTGTAGTCAAATATTCTGTGCAATAACTATTAACAGGCCCCAGTATTTTGCCTGGACATGGGACAAAAACCCATAATCATATCATCACGTATTTGGAAAACCTAGGTTCTTACCTAGAAAACAAGTGATGCCCATCACCCTGACAATATATATATTACAGCAGACCGCTGAGCTCTGTGGACATCACATTGAACCATTATGTCCTTGATATTTAGGTGACACTATATTTGTATATCCACACGAGTAATTATAGAGTTTCTCCTTGAATTCTGAACTTATGGACATAGATATGGAAATGCCAAATGTCATACAAGCACAGTACAGCCTTATACCATGGAAGGGGTGCATGGAACTATACTATTGCAACATTCTTATATTTCTCATGAAGTGGTGTAGTATTAAGACTATGTTAAGAATGCAACCACTAAAGAAAAAAGTTAAAAACTGCAAAGCTATATAGCTGAAAAAACAATCACATATTAAAATGGCTTTCAGAGAAATACGCAATTAACCCAAAACCCAAAAGGAGGAAGGGAGAAAAAAAAACCAAACAAATGAAACAGGAGAGCTAAATATAACGACATCTGTAATTTCATTACATCCAAATGTAATTTTTATGTTTAAAAGCTCCCCTTAAAAAGCAGATGTCAAAGTGATTGAAAAAAAACAAAGATCTATATGCACATCACTAAATCAAGTTTTTAAAATTTTGTTTTGACTTAAATAATGTTGACTATAAATTGAAAGTATACGTAATAGAAATTTTAAATTGCCCCTCAATTTAAAAATATCAGTGAAATGTTGATAGTTATTTCAGATAAGCTGAATTAATGCTCCATTTAGATTCCTGAATCTCTGCTTGAAGTAAGAAAGTTTAAAAACCCTTGTATACAGGATTTTTTTTAAAAAACACCAAGCTTAAATAATACACCCTCCAAGTAGGTTAAGTAATATTTTACCCAGGGTTCTAGTCTTTTGTTCCTTAAAGTAGAAAAATATAATCTTTACTTGAAAATGGGATATATGATATTTTTTTACATTTATTTTACTAACAAGCAAGATCACTGTGCTTCTCTGAAAGAGAGTTAAAAATTGTACCTCTATATCTTCTTTCTACAGGTTTTCAAATGGGTACAGGTGTACCTCGGAGATATTGTGGGTTCAATTTCAGACCAGTGCTATAAATCAAATATCACAATAAAGCGAGTCACATGAATTTTTTGGTTTCCCAGTGCATATAAAAGTTATGTTCATACTATAGTGTAGTCTGTTGTGTAACATTATGCCTAAAAAATGTACATTACTTAAAAAGTATTTTATTGCTAAAAAGCGCTAATCATCATCTGAGCTTTCAGTGAGTGATCATCTTTGTGCCGGTGGAGGGTCTTGCCTGGATGTTGGTGGCTGCTGACTGATAAGGGTGGTGGATGCTGAAAGCTGGGGTGGCCGTGGCCATTTCTCCGTAAAGACAGCAATTAAGCTTGGCACATCAATTGACTCTTCCTTTCACTTGAACACTTAGAGGCTGTTAATTAGCCCAATTTCAATATTGTTGTGTCTCAGGGAATAGAGAGGCCTGAGGAGAGGGAGAGAGATGGGGGAACAGCTTGTCAGTGGAGCATTCAGGACACACACAACATTTATAAAATTCTCTGTTTTACATGAGTGTGGTTTGTAAGACAATTACAATAGTAACATCAAAGATCACTGGTCACAGATCCTCATAACAAATATGAAAATAATGAAAAAGTTTGAAATATCATGAGAGTTATCAAACTGTATTACAGAGACAGGAAGTGAGCAAATGCTGTTGGAAAAATGGTGCCAGTAGACTTGCCCAACACATGGGTGCCACAAACCTTCAATTTGTAGAAGTGCGGTATCTGCGAAGCACAGTAAAGTGAAGTGCAATAAAATGAGGTATGGCTGCTTTAAAACATGTAATTCTGTAGTAATTATATTCTCATTGCAGTAATTGAGCTAGTTCTGTATTGGGTTACAAAATAGTAAATATCATACCGCAAA